TAACAAAAATTATGAAATGCAACAAAAAGTTGTCGCTGACTCTTTAATGCTCTACTTCTTCTTTTAGAGATTTAATTATATTTTTTATATTTTTAAAATTGAGAAAATTTGATATAAAGTCGCTAAAAATTCTTACAGGCTGCTTACAAAAAGTATTTTGAAAAAGGAAGAAAAAGGTTTTAACTTTCTATATATAATTTTTTTTTTAATTATTATTTTTAAGCTTATTAGTTCTAAAAATATATCACACCTCTAAAACACACACCTCAAAACTATATTTTTTTTAAAATCAATTTTTGTTTAATTTTTTTCTTCTAATATGTTCTTTTATAGCTTTCTATAATTTCTTTTTTATATTTTTTTAAAGTATCTTTTTTTTATCAATTGAATTTGGTTTCCTTTTTTAGTTTTTTTAAGATGCATTTTTAATCTTTATTTTATTTTTAATTTAAAATTTGTTTTTGAATTTTGATTTGAATCTTGGATGTCACAGCTCAATGTAATACATTTGAAAAGATCTTTGAATTATACGCAAGCCAAGCAACTCTTTTTGTGCGCTTACGAAAATCAAAAACCTGTCGCTGCTTATAAAGCGTAGCTGTTATTGCGGCTATTGTTGCTGTTGTTATATTGATTTAGCCGGAAGTTAAACTCTGAGGTAGTTTGTTTGTTTTTGCTATGATTCTACTTCTTCATCTTCTTCTTATTGCTTTTGTTGTGTGCTGTTTGCAGGGCGCTCATCCTTGAGCCGCAGTTAACAGCAGCAGCAAAAACTGTAAACGTTTCTTCGGCTTTTTGGGTTTTTTATTTGTGGCAAATCTTTAGCATTTCAATAAAACAACAACAAAAACTTTTGCATTGAACAGCACGATTCGGCCACAATATTAGCTAGCCATAAAGCTGAATTGAAATTTATATATATATATATATACACAGTAAGAGGAATGGAATGATAGCTGTGTTTGCTAATTGCTTCGGTTGGCATGTGATTTGGGAAATATTTCAATTACATGCGGATTAGCTGAGTATGATAAGAGCTCCATGCTCAGCCATCCAGAACTGAGTCGCAACGCATGATTTCAATTTGTCCGTATGCAAATAGACTCTCGACTCAAGCGTCAAAAAGTTAATATATCCATCTATCTATCTATATAGATGTATATATGGACGTGTCTGAGCTACCAAACAAATCAATCAAATTAGCGTCTCGGCTCTAAAGACTTGCGCAAATATGTTTGCAATAGCCAAAAAGAAATACAGACCAATCCATCTGGCTGCGATTTTCAGGGCCTTTTCAGTGTCTGTATATAAAGCCTTAACTATATCTATTATGATTCATGTGTAATATATATAAATATGTGGATATATATAACATATTTGCCTCGGAAGCTGACTCGCAATTAACACAGTTTTGCTAAGTTCGATGAAAGCATGGCACATATATTGGAAAGTTCATAAATTTCAGCATTGCTTAAGCTGTAAAACCTAGCTTGTAAGTTATCGATCACCCGATTCGATAAATTGCGCTTTCTAAACATAGTTTTAAGTTTAAGCTGCCTAAAATTTGTTTTGTTGGTTCCATCGACTTCCATCCACTCTTCTTGTCTTTCTTGCCCTTGATCGATAATGATTTGATTCGATAAATTGAGTTTTATTATTTTTTTAATCAAAAATATGTTAAATTCTTTTTCAATTGAGATGCAAGCTGACATAGATTTATATTTTAGACAAAATGAGATTCTGCGCTACTTGATAAGTCTAGGTTTTTATCGATAACTTTTTGAATGGGTATATTATTTACTTTTTCGGATTGTCTATACTTGTAGCCATTCTTCTATTACAATCTACTTCTATCTCTACTTAAAAGTCGGGTTTATGATTGATCGATAACTTTTTCATGCGATAAACTGTGTTTGTTATCAAATTTGATATCTTGAAAGTTGCTTCTGGCTTACGGTATGGCTTTTATTAATGATATTTACTTTGTTAGATTTTCCACTGCCTCAACTTTTCACTTATTTGATTTTTATGGCGTTGCCATACTTTTTTCGTTTATTAAATATAGCTTAAAAAGTGAAATTGTTTGAAGGAGAGAAATATCAAAAATTAAGCTCACAAAATGCGATTTAAATTAACAGCTACTCACTAAGCTAGTCACATTTAAGAGTTGCCATACTGTTAGCTTTTAAGCTACAATTGCGGACAGCTTTTTTATTGCCCGCTAAACGTTTAACAACTGAAGAGTTTTTATAGCTAAAATTAAGCTTTTGATATGCCCACAAATCACAACTAAGACATTTGATACCCAGACAATAATTAACCGTTGCTCTGCCCACTAAGAAGCTGGAAGCGTTGCCAGACTTTTGTGCCACTTACTTGAAGCTGGTTGAAACATTGATCAAACTGCGATATAATTAGCATAATAAAATTATAAATAATTAGACAAATGCGTATATATGAATATATACATATTCTGCACAAAATCCGGTATTATTCCACATGGCAATTATTTCAAATAGCTTGTTTCTAAGAGTTTTTTGTTTTGAAGAAATCCCAAAATGAACAGAAACAAAAAACCAAAACGGATGTATAGAAAAGTGTGTTAAGGCAGGCATGGTTTTTACCCGCTCAGAAATAACACAAAAGATATATATTAATTTGAATAATCACATGATTAAGAAAGATATAATAGCGATTTAAATAAATGCTTCGATCTATGCCAAGAAGTTCTCGGCTCCAGACTGAAAGAAATTGCGAGGATTGGGCTTGGCTTGGCTTGGCTACCCCCGTCGGATGCCTATACACTTGTGCACATCTTACTCTTTCTCTTTCTCGCTGCTTTGACTTTTGTTTTTATTTCATTTTACAAATTATTGCCGCTGCTGCGCTAAGACCCAACCAACCGGTTGAATTTGATGTCTTTTGCTGATGATATTCCAATTGCTTTTTGTTGTTTTCTTTTGCTGACGTCTTAGTGGCTGCTGCGGCCACAGCTACTGTTGTTGTTGTTGTTTTATCTTTTTAGGCTATTTTTTGTTTTTGCGCGCTTGGCACAGGTTGAAACGAAGTGGCAGAAGCAGAGAAAAAAAATACCGATAGCAGAAAGAGACGCAAAAGCTAAACTGGCCGAGATCTTGGCTGGAATCTGAACTTGGTTACCATCCCCGGCTGTGTTGTAGATGCCCAACATGCCAGAGCAGCCCACCTGTACAGCATAAATTAGTTAAGTCGTGCGGCAGGTGGGCGGCCACTTTACACGGCCAGCACTGAGAAGAGTCTCGACCAGATGTGCCAGACACCGTTTAAGCCAGCAACAATTAAGTTTTGCATTCTTTAACAATTCTCTGTTGTTGTTGCTTGAATATTATTAAATGAAAGGTAAGCGCTTGTACGTGGCTTTAACTTGGTGTGAGTATGGCGCACACACACAGTCTATCTCACTCTCACATCAACTCGCGCTTAGATTTTGTTTGTGCTGATGCTGCGCGAGTTGTTGTTTTGTATTTGTTTTTCTTTTTTTTGGTGGGAGTTTCATTGTTTTTGCACAAATTTATTTTAAGTTAGCTATTCATTGGAATATGTGCACAAACATGTTTATATTAGACACACACACACACAGACACTCACACACAGAAACGTGCACACGCAGCATTTGTTTTGCCCATTTGCACAGATTTTTTTTTTGTATTTTTATGGCTTTTCTTAATTTGCAATCATTTTCCAGTTTTTCACTAAGTCGCAAGCTTTGACTTTGATTTCTTTTGCTATTTTTGTTGCTTTCTCTCTTGCACTTGCTTTTTATATATATTATTGCATTTATATTGTGCGACTCACTATATATATAAATATATACACTTACACAAATTTCCGTTAGTTTGACGCTTGTATTTAACTATAATTGTTTACGTTTATTTGATCGCTTTGGGTTTCACGCTTCGTATACGCGATTTAATTTTACTAACAACGACTACGGCGCTCGCCTTTTATTATTTGTGTGCCGTGATTTCTATTTGATTTGATATATGTGTATATATATATCTATTTCTTTTTTTTTTAATTTTTTCGTACAACCAGAGCGCGATATCTAAATCGGTTAGAGTGTGAACAGCAACTGGGCGAGATCATGCGCTCCGTTTGCCTGCCTCTCTATAGCCGCTGCTTAATGAAGCTTAGCTTCGGCTGCGGAGTTGCCAGTGCGCTCGCCACGCTTTGCGCTCATCTGGCAACTACGTTAAGCCGAACACGCGCGCGCTCGCACACACACACTCACACAGATGCATAGACATACGCGCACGAACGATAAGAAGCAACAAGTAATGTAAATTAAATTATAACTAGCCGAGCCAACAATGGGCCTTAAGCTAAACCCGGCACATCTACTTACTGTACAGCCGAGGAGCGATGCGACGCCAGCGTCGGCTCTCACGCTGACACAAATCTGTGTTGGAGAATGTTCTCACTGAATGTTTTTGTTTTTGTTGTCATTTGCGCCTTCAGCTAGTGTTGTAATGCGGTGCAGTTAACCCATCAACGCATAATTTCAACTTTAAATCACTTAATGGAGCTGTTTGTTTACAAGAAATAAGCATATATGAGCAATTGTGTATGTATGCACCCACATACACATACAAGCACATTTTGGGTAGCAGCTTTCTCTGATTGAATTAATACGTTGATTTATGTAAATTACACTAATTCATATTACTCAATTTGCTATTTAATATTCATTGCTCGACCGCGCGACGTTCGTGTTCTCGTTCTTCTTTCATGTGAATAGTTTTTATTTACTTTCAGAAAGGAACAAAGCGAAGGTAATTTATGTTGAATTAAATAGAAGAGCATTAAAATGATCTAGCAGTTCGAATTCAATTAATTTGAGTGTTGCGCAATCCGCAAGTATTTCAAAACATTTGAGATCTTCATTGTTTAGTAAACCTAACGAGAGACATAATCGAATATTACAGTATAAATTGCATATATGATTATATTCGTTTTTGAGCTAACAATTTGAAGCAAATCAAGTACGTTTATTGTTTATAACAATTTTTAGGCTACATTGTAAAGCTTGCCCAGTTTTTGCAATAGGCCTGGATTATTTTTGGGAAACTTTGAAATAGCATCCATGATACAAGCAGCCACTGGAAGAAATGGAATTAAATTTAATGCTTATTTCTGATGAATATGCTAGCATAAGGGTACTCACTATTTTTGTCTTCTGGCGACATAAATATCACCAAAATGCTGAATTCATCATTTTTGCTTATCTCCAGCAAAACTGCCGCTGTCGTTGGCTCCTTGTTGGGCACATAGAAATCCTGCAATGTGCGCAACAAATCCGTAAATGTATCAGAGTCAAAGCCAGCGCCAAGTATTTTACATAAATTGGGTATTTCAATAGATTTCAAGTATTGATATTTCTGATTTGGTGACAATTCTTTCCAAGTCATGTAGAACTGGGCAGTGCCGGAGGGAGCAGGTGGTATGCGCTGTTAGGAAGCCGAAGTTATTATTAGTATTTCAATAATTAAGTTATGCTTTTACGCTTACCTCCATTGTTTTAACTTTTTTGTCCTCTTGTTCGATCTTAGTTTTATTGCTTAAGGTGCTTGGTTTTTCAGTTTTAGTTGGTTGTGGCACGTTTGTGATACTACTCTCTTTTACTATTGGCTGTGATTGAGTTTTGACAGACTTTTCTACAATTGGGTTAGTCTGGTTCGATTCTGCTGCTGGTTTTATGGTTTGAGGAATAATAGTTTCAATAAGCTTTGTCGACGATTGTATACTTTCTTCCTTGACTGTTGATTGATGCTGAGCTGGTTGCTTAGTTTCCTGAATTTTAACATTTAAGTTATCATTGGCTTCCAAAGTATTTGGCTGTGCTACCTTCGTCTGTAGCTTAACTTTTTTCTTCACTTCTTCAAAGGGTCCGCAATTGCTATTGAATATTTTATCAATTTCCTCATCCGAGATGCGCAATTGTTTCTGATCATCCTGACCTGGACGAGGTGTAACAATATCTACAACACTGATGCGGCGCATGGGCTGTTTCGAACGCCTGGAAGCCGCCTTATCAAATGGTAAGATATCCACAAAATCTTCGCGATCAGCACTGAAGTTGGGACCATTTTTAGTAGCTAGGAAATATACATAATTAGCTATCAATATTATTATATTTTTATCGTAAAATACCAATTTTTCGTAAGCGTTCATTGATGCGTTCCAAACTACGTTTGGCTTCGTAGTTTTTCGGATCGATGGCCAGTACAGTGGTGCAATCCTTCAAGGCTTCCATATTGTTGCCCAGCGATTCGTTTGCTTGCATGCGTCTATAGTAGGCCTTAACGCACAACTTGTCCAGCCCAATGGCTGCATCGCAGTCCTCAATGCAGTTATCATGGCTACAAGAAACAGATTAGATTTGTATATCGATGAGATATATGCTTTTTCATTACCTTTCCTGCTTTAAAAAACATAAAGCCCGATTGATATAGTATATGGGATCTAGTGAATAGACTTCGATAGCTTCGGTATACGCCTCAATAGCTTTCTCATATTCGCTCAATTTCACATAGCTATTGCCGCGATCCTTTATATCATTTGCCTTCTTATGCAGCTGGGCAAGTGTATCTGTAGGCAAATCCTGCTTCTCAGTTGGGGTGATCGCTGGGCTACTAGTGCCACTGTTTGTTGCTGGTTTCTTAAGTGTCTCATCCGTTTTCTTGACATGGCTGCGTACGGGTGTATTCTAAAACGTTTTCTTGTTATTTTTATATATAACCATAATTTTTACTACTCACGTTTGTCTGAATTTTTGGAGCGGGCGCATTTAGCATTGCCAGTTCCTTGCTCTTAATTTCCTTTTCCCATGAGTACAGATCCTTGACCGAGCTCTGATACTCACGTGCGTTTTGGCGCACCTGGAATTGTAATTCCATTGCCTTTTTTTCGCTGCTCATTTTATTATTTAATAATTATTGTTATTTCTGAAGAGCGCTATTTTTTTGGTTGTCATGACAGCGATTTCTGACGACAATATCGATTGCAGCAGCATGCTATCGATAGGCGTGCGATACTATTGCAAACAGTCTTATCGATAGCCACAGTCCGATAGAACGCTTTTCAACACTTACAATTTTATTTATGTTTTTTAGAACATACTAATTTGAGCAAAATTACTTAGTTATTTACATAAACAGATGTACGCAAATACGGACAAGGGGGACCAGTAATTATGCTTCGTCTACCAAGCTTAAAAGTGTTCACAGAGACGGCAGCTAGACATAAGTACTTAACACTTGCCTCTTTCTGCTATTTGTTGTTGTTATATAAAATAACGTTTAAATTTTTTTTAATATGTAGATTCAACAACAGTTCAAGATATCAGTCGAAAAAACCGGAGACCTACTACGATGTGCTAAATGTTCACCACGATTGCAACAAGCGAGACATACGTAATGCCTATCTCAAACTATCTAAACAGGTGCAACAAGTATTTCATTTGTTAATTTGTATTAATAAATTATATACGTATTTATAGTTTCATCCCGACGTTAAGAGTAACGCGGCAAGTGTGGAGAAGACAGCACGTTTTGTGAAAATCACAGAGGCTTATCAAACATTGGTGAAGGCCTCATCTCGAAAAGATTATGACGAAAGTTTAATTTGGAATTCAGGCGCAATGCGTGAAACAATTCAGCCCTGGGATGTTAAGCCCAATTATAGCGCAAATCCTGGTCCATATTACGGTATCAAGGGCTTAGAACGTGTCTCCAATTGGCAGGTAGCCTTATTTCTTATCTCTCTTGGCGTAATAGGTGCAATCTTTGGCTTCAGCTCAGTGCGGTGAGTACGCTATAGTCGATGTATCTTGATAGATATTCTAAATGGATCGTTGCAGACATTCATTCGAGCTGAACCGTCAATTCCAGGACGAAGTCTCAGCTGAGGCCAATTCTCATCATGCCGCCGTAGTTGCCGATGCACAAAAGTACGGCAATGAGGAGCAAATGCGACGTATGATCGAGCGTCTGGCCAGAGATCCGATTGCCGCAGCTGCAGCCAAATAAAATCATTTTTAACATATGTAAATAGACTAAATTTGTTGTAAATAGATTAGCAAACAGCATGTGATAATACCGGTCTAAACACGTTTTTGTTGTGAAATTAAGGAAGCGGCGGAAGAAGGATTACTCGACGATAATTCTATATTTTTATATTATTTATTAATTGGTAATAAATATCTGTGAGAAGATATATATATATATATATATATATATATATTTAATTTAACACACAAAGCTAGTTTTAATTATCAATAGTTTTCTTTGTAAATAATTTAATTTAACTACTGCAAAAAGTGAACGAAATCCTTATGGTAAAAAGCAAAGCGAGTGGATCAAGACACACTATCAAATATTTATTTTATTTTCATCTATAAATATTTTTATATTTTTTATATAATTTTTTGGCAAAAGTTTTACTTTTATTAAATTGACTGAAATTAAGTCAATTAGTGCTCCTAGTTACTTTTTCTTTATTTAATTTATTTATAATTTTTTCGCTACATATATAAAACAAGTTGCTTTTAAAAATGATTTATTTTTCATTTAGCAATGTTTGAGCAAAAAATAACGGAACACTTAAAAATTAACATCGCGAACGGGCGAATTTCAATTACATTTAAGTTTATATAATTATTTATTTAATAATTTATTTAACTTGTACTCAGTTAATTTCTCTACTGGTTTTAACAGAAAATAGAATGAAATGAATTTACGATTCTTGATAGCCCGCCACCGAACTATAAACTAAAAATCACATATTTCCTATTAAAAATGCAAAATTGCTCTCGCAACTAGTTGAAGCAATTACAACGTCGACTTGGACTTGGCTTTGTCCACATCTTTGACCAGTATGCGTGCTGCCACATGTGGCAGGGCAGGCTTAAACATTGACCCATCCTTGTAGTCAGCATAATTCAATTTGTAGACCTCATGGAAGCCCAACTTCTCCATAACACGAGCCGAAAAGTGACTGGAGCACAGAACATGGTAAACGGATATATTATTGAGGCGCATATACTCATAGCCACGTTCCGTTAGTTTGCCGGCAATGCCCAAGCCACGGTAATTGCTATCCACGGAGAGTATCTTGCCATCCAGAATGACGTTCTCCTCCGGATACAAGTCAAAGATGTTAAACTGATCCTCTATGTGATCCATTAGGCTGAGTATCTTTTTGAACTTTGGATGTGAGCAGCTATCGGCTGCCTTTTCAACGGGATCTGATGGGTCCTGGATAAGAGTGAAGGAAAATATATTATTATTAAATATCGATATATATATACATATATATATATATAATGAAAACATACAGCTTTTTTCATTAGACCATTGATGAAGACTCCGATAATTTCGCCTTTGTTGTTGACTGCCTTGTATGAGCAATTGTCCTTGAGCGGTTTCACTGAGTACTCTTCCAGCTCTTTGCACTCGCCGAGATCTAGATATGTATTGAGTGGCTCGTCCTGAAAATGCATATATAAGTTTAATATTTCATATAAAATTCCACAAAATCTCAAGTTCAGCAAAGAAAGCACATTCAATTAATATCAGTTTCCTATCAGTACTCATAGCATATCATATCACATCATATCATATCAAGATCTATTAATAATTGTATGCGAAAATGCTAAATTGAACAATCTGTACAAATTATTCAAGCAATTACGTGACATCAGAAACATTAGAATTATACGAAAATGATTTATGTGCACGCATTTGTAATCTATTATCTACATTTTTTAATATACCCTGTAAATAGTTGAGAGGGGTATGGTGTCTTTTAAGCAAATGTATGTAACTCACGGTATTTGATGAGGGCAATAATAAAAAACGAAAAACTTTTGACCAAGATGAATTGCAGAGACAATCTACAATTGTTTAAATAAAGATATCCCGAATACTTCAAAAACTAAACACTTGAAGTTTAAAATATATATTCTTGTATACGTTTCGTAACATGTATTTATTTTTTTTTTAATATCTAGTTGTCCAGTCTAGTTATTAGAGTATATATACATATATTTAACGAATGTTTCATAATCCTCATAAAGGAGGAAGCATAAGTAATAATATAATTACATAAATGTTTGCATAGAAAAGTGCTAGAATATCTTAAGTAACCTCAGTTTCAGGGTATTTCTTAGTCGAGCAATCCTATCTAAGGCAGTTTTACACGTTTTAATCAAAGATTGTGCATAATTTATGGCAAATGCTAAACGGAACCGGAGCTACAGTTAGTCATTCAGTCAGTCAGTCAGTCAATCAGGTTTGCATACATACATACATATACATATATGTATATGTATATATATAATATATTTTTATATATATATATATAATATCAAGCTTTTTAATTAAATGCAATTCAATACGGATTTTTGGCCCGACTAACTGGAGTGGAAGTTTGTCACTCGACAAGATCGCTACAGATTGTATTAAATATGTATATAAATATATATACATATATAATATAATGCTGCGACTATATCATTATAAATATATAAAATATGATAGCTATGCAGTGAAGCGTTAACTGGGTAACCAGTTAATGATCTACAAAGTCAAATGACGTTCTCTCCAACTGGTTTTTGGCAGAACTGTGAGATGTAGTCTCGAGCTAAGGCTGGACGAGGGTTTTTTCTTCTTTCATTAGTCATCGCAAGGATAAATAGTTCACGCACTCATTTAAGTGAGACATCGAACGAGAAAAAACCCCCGCTAAGGGCACATAAAAATGTTGAGTTTAGCTGCAATTAATGAAGCAAATCTTTTTAACTAAAGCTCATTAATAATTCCTATGCTTTATTTATGCGATTTCTGCTTTGTTTTGACTCTCGTTTCGAGCTGACAGATGCAAATTAAATAAAGAAATAATTTATCAAGCTAAGAGTCATTAGAAGAGTAACAATTTGCATCTTTAATTAATTAAATTAAGAAATGAATGCAATTAAAGTGAATAAACAAATAAAAATGTTTCTTTGAACGAGAAAGTATTTACCAAAGTTCGTATTTAAAAAACAAATATATATATATAAATATATTTTATTGCATGTTGTTGACGAGTCTAACTAAATACAGTTTAAGCTGATCTATTTTTTTTTATTTTATGTATATTTTTTAACAAAATAGGTTAAAATTGTCAAACTAAAAAAATTCTTAAAACACAAATACTTCAAGTTTGAGTGCTACTAAAAATATATGAAAAATTTAAAATTATATTAAAAAATATTACCTTAAAGAAGAAAGTCTTTAGCATGGTTAGAACTGCAGCCGTATCTTCTGGCTGCACAACCTCTATGGTATAGGGGCATTCCTTATCCAATTTCGACGACGACGACGACATATTAAGCACGTCCGATTTCTGTGTCAAGCGGGCGATCGGATATAAATCGTTCAGCTGTGAAATAGACGAAACAAGTTGTTAAAAAATATATATAAACAAATATATATATATGCATATGTATATATTTGTTTGGATTTATTATGGTTATTTATTGCTCTTAGATGAAAGCCAGACATTTTAATTTGAAGCACATGTGCGCCCGCCGACAACAACTATGCGCTGACGGTGACGACGACAACAATTTTCACTTGCATTTCCAATTTTCCATTTTCCCCAACCATGGCCCAGCTGTATTTTAATTTGTTTTTCATGTACACTTTTGACAACTCGCATAAATTATGGTTTAATAATTAATTCTTCTACTTGAAGGAAACGGCTGAACAAATATTTTCTTTTATTTCTTCTCAAATATAATAGAAATTTCTAAATTGTTCTATATTTGTGAATAGTTTTGAACAAATAACAAAATGATGAGTTATAGATGTTGTCAGTATTGGGGAATCTTAGTCTAAGTCTATATAAAACTCTAAAACAAATTTAGTTTAGTTTCTTTAATATAAGATTTGAAATATTTAAATACTTTCTCATATCATATATGATATATCATTTCATCAAAATCATGAAAGCTATCTGTAGCACATAAAGCCGCCTAAAGCTAACATTTTTCAATGCTTTCATATAAAGTAACAATTTTATTATTAAAATTAATTATAGATTTCCTATAGAGACATTTAAACATATTCAATCAATTTGAATTATACTTTGTTTATTAAATAGTTTTAAGAACTGCATTCAGTTATTTACTAGATTAAAATTTCTACAATCTATTCAAAAGTCTTTAGAATTAATTTGAATTGATTTTGCATTGAAATTCTAATTAATTCACATTTAGTTTATTTTTGTTTATGTAAGAGAATTTTCTTGTTTTTTATTATTATTTTTTATAATGTAGTCAAAAGTTGTGCGAATGTTTTTGAATAGTATTGAAATTCTATCGAATTTTTTAGCACGTTAATTTTGCTTATCTAAGCATTTAATAGAGTATTAAAATATTCTAAAGAATTTTTTATTAGATTAAGATAAAAAAGATTTTAAAATTTAACATGTGAATTCTTAAAATCTATTCAACTATTTAATAATAAGACTAAATCAGTAATTCTAGCTATTTAGTCTAGAGTCTTCACATTCCAAAATCCTTATTTATTTAAAATATTTGTTTCCTACATATTTTGCATTAAATTTAATTTAATTGCACTTTGAGTGCCCATTTGAAGCGCTATCCAAGCACAAGCCCCCTTAATAATTGATGTAGCTGGACATATATTTTGGCAAATGTTTACATTGCAGCTACTTAATCTATATCTTGGCTCGATCTATTCGATCTATTAATGGCACACAGTCTCTTCCTCTCGCACTCTTGATATTTGTAGTGCCACTCAATTCTACGTTTCAGAGGTAGAAGCCCACGCAAATGGCAAATGTTTACGAATGTGTTTATAGAACGGTTGATCAACCAGCTACTAGACTATATAGATACTACATAGACATGTGTAGCTAAATACACTTACCGCACATCTGGAGTCAAGGATGCAGCATTTGCTTTGCAGCAGCGGCTGCTCGCGCATTTTTTCCACCTCCATTTCTTTATTATTTTTTTATTAACTTTTGTGTGAGGCGTGAGAAAATGTTATTAAACAACGTATAGGAAAAGCCCTATTATATATGTGTATTTTATATATATAATATATATTTTTTTAACAATATTGTTTTTGCTTTTTGGCGCGCGCGCTTTTTAGTTATTTCGCTGCTGCTGTTGTTGTTGTTGTAGTTATTGTTGTTGCGGTATTTGTTTATTTGCCAGCGTATTTATATTTATTATTGCTGCTATTGTTTTTCATTTATTTATTTATTTATTTTTTGATTTTGCGCACAAACACTTTTGCACCTTTTGACAGTTGCAAATAATGGTCATTTATTATACAGTCACACACACATAGTTGTAAAGGGCAAAAGCACGACAATGTGATTTGATGTGCAGAAAAACATTTGTAAAGATCCTTGCGGTGGATTTTTTGATTGAGTTGCTCAAGTTGCTTAAGTTGCCGTTTTAGCTGCGAGCTTTAGCTCTTCCCTTGCGCAAACAATGAATGCTTAACATCGCAGCTGTTTGCACTTTATATACATATGGGTTGGGTTAACGTATACGCCGTGTGTGCTGAACCTGAACCCGAACCGAACAAGGCAGTCAGAACGAGAGCGCGCGTTCGTATGAGAGAGAAAAAGAGAGACTGAAGGCGGCGTAGGACAGCGAAATTTCAATCTCTTTCTGGCAGGCGCTGGCGTTGACGACTGAATTCAGTTCCGTTGTTTGCCTGCTGCCGATCGCAACTGTGCACGAATCACGAACAAAACGAACAGCTAACGTCGCAGCAGCAACATGATGCGATGCTAGCAGCGACGCCGGCGCTGCTTTTAAATGTGTGTGCAGATGATGATGGTAGGCAGAGGCAACATTTGCACTTGCTGTGACTCCACACGAGCGGACTAGACAAACAATAGTTGCATATGTGTGCAAGTGTGCGTGTGATTGAAGGAAAAGTCGCTCTCCCTCTCTCTATCTCTCTCAGCAGCTCTCCCAGCAGCTGAAAACAGAGAAGGGAATTGCGCTTTGGCATCGTGACAAGTTTGTTGTCGGTCACTCACAGCTGCTGCCGCTGCTAGTGGCTGCTGTTTAGCGACTGTTTTGCCTGTTTTGGAGTTGGGCTGAATGGGAGAGGTCAAATTAGAGCACTGTGTTTCCGGTGTGTGAAAGCGTTTTTCGCAAATTAGTCGATTGAAGTTTTGACGATATACTTAACTAATTAAAATGTGTCATATAAATTAATTAACTTCAGTTATTAACCAGGCAAGTGCTTTTTTTATTTATAATTAGGCAGCTTTTTATTTGTGGTATATTAGATTATTCATTGCAAACAGATGTTCAGCAATTAAATTTAAAGTGCTGGCTAATAAACGTGTCTTTGGATACTGTTATGTAGCTTAATGCATATATTCAGAAAGTCCCCCTCCTTCCTTCGCTCACAAGCTCTCTCTCTTTCTCTCTTTTTACTTTAAAATGAATCGTTATGCCAAGCAATTGTCTTCTGCTAACAGTTTAACAGTTACTTGCAGAGCTACAGTAGTGGCTAATAAAAGTGTCCATGAATGCACATGCCGCTTCTCCTTTATGCTCTCTTGAAATTGTCAAATTGTCAAATTGTCTTGATATATCAGGCAAATACTGATTTCTAACAGTTAAATGCAGAGTAACCCTGATAGTATATCGTAGCAATTTAAGCTCAATGCACTCATGTAAAGAGTATTATTATTCCCCTGTGCTCTCTTTAACTTTAACAAGCCAACTAAGCAAAGCAGCTCTTCACTTGGAAATACCGCAAATATTTGCCGCCTGTCAATGAGTGAAGAGTTATCTAGATCGACTGTTAAGCAAATACTCTAGCATGCATACACGCACACACACAGAGTGTGAGGCTTCTCAATGCGACACACACACAATGCTCGAACTATGAAGGTGGAGGCGGAGGTCGCGTTGGGTGTGTTTGCATTGACGACGCCGGCAAAAAAAAACTGAAAAAAACTGCGAGTTGTTTTTTTCTGCTGTTCTGTTTTTGTTTCTCTTTTTTACTTTTGATTATTTTGTTTACCTTTTTGTTGTTTTTGCTAGCTTTGTTTGCATTCTCGAATTTTGTTTACATTGGCGGGCGTGCGCTCTCGCATCATCAATAGATTTCTCAAAATATTTATGAATTTCGCGTATTAACTTATTTTACTTGAACTTTTTTTTGGCTTTTATATTTTTGACTGGTTTATTGACTCGCAAAGATTTTTCACAAATTAAGTTGTTTATTATGGAAAATTGTCGCTGATGAGCTAGTGGGGTTTTTTTTACATATTTTTTATTTAATGGCTCTTATATTTTATGTTTTTTTTTTTATATTTTGTTGTTTAAATATTGTTTGCCGTTGTGCTTATACTTAAAAACTATAGGCTGTTAATGCTTAGTCACATCGGAAAATAACAGTTGGCTAATTTGCGGTTAACTGTGAACCTGTTTTTGATATATAGCTGTATATATTTCTATATATGTATATAGATATATATGTATACACATAGCTGTATACCCTTGATAGCTTGTTGTGAACTTTTTTGAAGTTCTTAGCTGAAATTCTTAAGGAGCTTAATAGTGCTCTATGAGCCAAGCCTTCGTTTTTGCTGCACAATTTTTTTTGTGCTTGTCTTTTTTTGATCATTGTCTTTTTTATTGGTTCTTTTGCGTTGTTGTGGTCAATTGCAGGTGTTAAATGCGTATTTATATATTCATCACATGTCTTTATTAATTAAGGCAATGTGATTGCAGCACCTTTTTGGTTTTGGCTCGTCATGCCTTGGACACATTATTCATATTTGTTGTCACATTTTAAATATATTTTTTTGCTTGGCTAACAGTGCGTATGCGTATTATTTATGCGTAAAATACATAATTTGAGGCTGTGTAATACCTGTAACTGACTAATAGTGGTTCGCATCTAATGTGGCTCAAGTTCAACTTATTTAAATTTAGTTTTCAATTGGAAATTCCCAGAATATTTAATCTAGTTTAAAGTGTAGATCCCCAAAAATATAATATAATGTAATACATATATATATCTAAATAGAAGTTAGTACAATTTTTGATAAAGGCACTGATAAAGAGAGTTAATAGAATGGTAGTTAGACAAAGGCAAGAAGAAATGAGGAGCGAAAGCTTAAAGAAAAGAAAGACAAACAGCTAATATGAGAGATGAGAGTTGAAAGCGTTTCAAATAAAAGGCCTCTCAAATACGAGGGTTGTTTGAAAAGTTGGCGACAATACAAATTTAAATACATATTTTTTTAATTAATTCTTATTTAACTTTCTAATACCAACTTCTAAGAGCAATCAATTATATAGAGTATATCATATCTATATATATAGATATATGTGCACATTTGTATATCTTGTGCTAATTAAGTAA